AGTTTTTGAGATTTATGTCGGATATTGTCTGCATATGTATATTAATGGTTAATTATATATAATATTTAGTAATTTTATAGTATATATAACAGTATATATATATATAGTATATGTATTTAATGAATTGTATGAATTCTACCGAATTGTTGGAAATTGCTCAGTTTATTGAAAATAGAATTATTATCCAAGTTCATCATGAAAATTTTATAAATTAAAAATTCATCATGCAGATAGGGCTTATTTCGACTTTTCACAAATCATCGTAAGTGCATCGTTTGGTTTATATAGTTTCTTTAAACAAAGCAAAGTTAGTTCTTTAGCAAAGTGAGTTACTTAGTTGTTGTCGTATTCTTTATCTTTGTCATTACTTTGTTCTTCATTGTTATTAAAGTTAGTATTAAGGCCTCGAGTTTGTAATGATGTTATCATTTTTTGTTAGATGTTTATTGGAGTTTATTGATATTTATTAGGACAGCTTCTGCAATTTTTAGATGTATTGTGTTGGTGTTTTGATAAATTATTTTAGTGTTGTTGTCAAGAATTTTGCTGGTTATTGGCGTTGCATGTATTGATTGTAAGTAAGATTTGATGGCTCCTCATTGTATGTGCATTGTGAGACGTTTTGATAGTAAAGTAGTCGTAATACCAATATACGAATGTTGATGCGCACAGTCGTCACTAGGGCATTAAAATTCACTTATTACATGATTACACTTCAAAGTATAATCATCTTAAGGAGTGCAGTTCTTTAGGACCAATTGTGATGTCTAACAATTATTGTAGTATATCCTGAGTTTTATTTTATTAGTATCATTAATTAGTGTAACATTTCTTTTTATGATTTGTTTGAGGACGTCTTCCTCTATTTTATGTGCCGTTAACATATGATTCCAGTAATATAGGATTATTTCGTTGTCACTGCTATTTTTGAATATATTGCTAGCTCGCTGTTGTATTTGTTGAATGGAGCTTTTAGTGGATGATGTTTTGTAACCATTTCTTACAATTAGATTAGTAATTCTTTTCAGTTCCGTATTGCGATCCTCAGATGAGTATGAATGCGTGAGTGCATGTTTCACAAAGGATTTTATTGTACTTATTTTGAATTGTTCCATGCATTTGCTTAGTCCATTTAAAAAAATACCTTTATTTGTTGCTTTGACGTATACGGAAATTGTAAATCTTTGTTCGTCATGCGTTACCAAAACATCTAGAAATGGCAATGAATTTTCACTTTCGTGCTCGACAGTGAAATTCAATTTTGATCGGTTCATGGTTGCTAGTAGCTAGTTGACTTGTTCCGGATCGTCGTTTGTGGCGAAGATATCGTAACATATCTGGCATAAATATGTGGTTTCAATGATCGATGCAATCAAATGCTTTTGACAGGTCTAGGAAAATACCTATTGTATGTTTTCTGCTTCAACTCCAATTTTTCGAGAATTACCAAATCCGTTGACAAGTTTTCTCTAAAACCGAATTAGCTGTTGGTATATTTTTTTCAGATAACTGATGAGTTTTAGGTAAATTATTTTTCCATGATTTTTTAGAAAGCTGGTATTGGTATATAATTTTTGACATCATTATTATTTTGTGTTTTTTCAGTTGGGGTAATTTTCGAGATTTTAAAATTTGCACCATCAGTTTTTCAATTTTAATTGTTATTTCAATATAGTTCTGAGTTCGGTTTTTTTAAAATGTGAGTTTAATTCTATCATCAGTTTTTTTTTGTTTTTTGTTTTTTCGATATAGCTCTGAGTTCGGTTTCTTTAAAATATGACAATTTAATTCTAAATTTACAATTCTCTTTTTTTATCATTGAGGGAATGTTTATTGAGGTTAATCAACCTGCATGATAAATTTGGATAACAACAGTTTTATTAAATTTTCATGATGAACTAATAATAATTCTTTTTTCAATAAATTTAATAATTTTCACAATATTTCTAGTAAGGAAAATTGCAAACACAAACTTCAAAATGAATAATGCCAACAATTCGGTCGAATTCATAAAATACTATATATATTGTTATAAATTTGCTGGGGTTGTTTACAACCGACAATTGTAGAGCTCGTATATCCGATAAGAATCAACTCGAACGATAAATTGTCCAATACGAATTTATTAAAGAAGCCGAACTATCAACAAATAATTACAAAATGAGTTATTTCATAATCGCACACTTGTAAACGAACAAACTCAATTTGTAAAACACACGCACTTCAACTTGTACTTGCCACACTTCGTAACTTTCTGTAAACACACACCTATTCGCATCGTATGTCGTCCTATTTATACAGCCTTCTTTTTGCGATGCATAGACATTTTACGATACGGCGTACCATAGATAATTATTGTCATAATTATGGAGCGCTGTATTTATAACAATATATATATATAGATATCAATCATTTTTATTCCATTCATCAGCTTCCGTCTCCAAGCCGATCTATCCATTGCGTATGTCTCCTTGAGACCAAGTTCTTTCAAGTCCTCCTGTGTGGTCTGCGTCCAGGACTTTTTTGGGCGACCTCTTGGGCGGGTGCCAGGCACCTGGTGCTCAGTAACGGAAATTATTGTATTGTTTTCGCTTCACATGGCCAAACCATCGTAGGCGATGACGACGACATGCATCCTTCAAAGTGCACAGTCTCGATCGGTTCAGGATCTCGGTAGTATGGATATGGTCCTTTAGAACAACTTGCTGCATCCAACGAATCATCTTCATGTCAGTTCGGTAAAGCTGCAGTTCGAGTTTTGTTGTCATCGGCCACGTCTCTGCATTATACATACGTATAACTCTGTTGCATAGCTCTGAGCGCAGCAGTAGAGGAATGCTACACCGCATCTGTACCTGGGCAAGGAGGTGCCATTTGCCCCACGCCGCACGTTTGCGTCCACGAACGGCGGCATCAGCTGTTCCAGTACAATCCAGCACATCTCCCAAATACTGAAATGAAGTAACAGTCTCGATCCCGGTAATCGTATCATCATCTGGGCCCCGTTGTCGTTGGTTGATGCAGGCGGGGCATACGAAATCAGTCACTTTCCTCAGTGAGCCGGTAATTCTCGAGCATCGTCTGTGACACCATTGCTGACATCGTAGGCATTTGATCGAGTTGCTTCCAACTCCAGCTCCACAAACCGAACATGGCCAATAACCAGAGACCACAGGCTCAGCGGTACCACCGGTGATCATAGTTTTTGTTTTTGTTTTGTTAAGGTTTAACCCGTTTTTGTCGAGCTGGGTATTCCAAACCTCAAACTTTCTGGCTGCGTCTTATTTCGTGGCCGCCGTCAGGACGATATCATCTGCATATATCACATTCCATATGTTACCTGAGCGTATCGGTTTGGTTATTTCTTCCATCACCGTGATGATCTCTGATGGACGCCGACGTTAATGTCAAATTCATTCGTGTTACCGGCTGTTGTGCGGACCAGAGTTTCTGCCATAACCAGTCGAACCAGATATTCGGGAACAAACTGTTTACGTAGACTCTACCTGATTGCCTCACGAGGCACTCTGTCAAAAGCCTTTTCCAAGTCCACAAATACATGGAACAGTCAAGTATTTTTCCTGTTGTTGACGAATGATATGGATAGCATCAATGGTGGATCTCCCAGCCATGAAGCCGTACTGATGACAACCTATTGAAACGCACGACAACAGTCTTCTCTCAATGAAATCAATCAATCAATCTTCGTTAAGCGTCCAGTTCCCCGAGGTAGAATGTTGTTTTCTTTGCCATCAATTTTTTGCGCCAAATTAAGCTATCAGTTGTATCTATTTCATTTAAATTTAGGGCTTTCATGTCTTGCTCGACTGTTTGCGACCAGGACTTCTTTAGACGGCCTTCGTGACGTGTGCCAGGTACTTCAATAACTGCAAGAGAAGTTATGGCAATGTTTCCATTTCGTTTGACATGACCTAACCACCAAAGTTTAAATGAAATGGATACAACTGATCGTCTAATTTGACGCAAAAAATTGATGGCAAAGAAAACAACGTCCTACCTCGGGGAACTGGGTCTCTGGACGCTAGGACGCTAAACGAAGATTGATTGATTAGTACGTTTTATTCATTTATAATAGGAAATAGACAATATGTATCATTGAGCATTTGTTTTTGCGATGCACCATAGCTGCCGTTATAATTGGTTACAATAATTGTGAATAGCATAGAAAAACAAGCGTTTAAATTTTAACTATATATACGTTGAACAAAAAAAATGAACGGTAGTTTTTTTTACAACTTAATATAACATATAAAATATAACTTTTGAAATCATTTTAATGTTAATAAGAAGATATGAAAAAAAACAAAAGAAATGTAACAATACATTATTTATAATAAGAAAAAACGGATAAAAAAATTCAAATCCTATTATTAATTATAAGAAAAAAAATCGAATATTAAAAAAAATTCAAATCTTAGCTATTCAATTATATTTATTTGATCAAAGATTTTAAAATTATTATGGAACAAAATGAATATTATAATGCATTATCACAAAAAAAATAACGTGGCCTATATTACAAAAAATTTCATTTTTTGTAATATAGGCCAGTAAAATAATTTTATTTTCTTAATAATTTTTTATTGCATTTATAAATACCGTAACGATAGATAAGTGTATTTTTAAACACTGTATTGTTAAATGTTCCTAGAAAAGTTTTAAAACGGTGTTGAGTTATAAATTTTTTTATAATTCTTTTTTCACCAATTTTTTAGGATCAGCAAAAATTAATTAAGAAGAACGAATCTAAAATACTAACAATCAATAAAGATATTTCAGGACTTGAAAATAAACTGTTTTCGGTTAATTTAGCATATTATGCATTTATTATAATTTTTATATTATATGAAATTTTATTTTAGCTGGCAACTCTGTTGACGAACGTTAAAATATTATTCGGTGATTTTGACGACAGTATTCAAGTGTTACTTTATGAAATAGAAAAATTAAATAATGTCCATAATGAACTTTTGAACAAACGCAATTTTGAAGAGTTAAGACTGAAGCTTATAAATATTGACCGATTTATTGGATCTTACAATATTAACTTAAATGATTTGGATAACAGATTTCAGAATCTCGAACAAACCAGTTATAATGGCGTACTTTTGTGGAAAGTAACCAACTATCGTGAACATAAAAATAAAGCTGTCATTGGTCAGACAACCTCTCTTTACAGTCAATCGTTTTATACTTCTAGATATGGATACAAGGTTTATAGTTTATGATATGTATATTTTTACAAAGTTTCAAGTATCATTTAGTACATTTTTTGTTTTAAGAAATTTTGACTGTATCATTTTCCCTTATTAAAACAGTTATGATTGGAAAATTACAAAACTAAAGATATAATTTAATTAATAAAGCTGATCTTGAATTGATATTAATTATCTATCACGTAAAAGCATTTTAAATATACACTAATATTTATGTACCAATTAATTCTCTTTTTCTATTCGTTTACCGATTTCTACGTAGAACGTTGCTTTTTGTTGCCAGTTTTTGATGCCAGATTAGACAATCAGTTGCTTCCAGTTAACGTTCGACGCTTTCAAGCTTTCCACCGCTGGAACTTTTGACACTTAATTGAATTGCTGCTCTCATTGGCGTTACAAACTAGGCAGGAGCAACGACCAGTGGTTGTGGGTTTTATGGATTTGCCAGTTAATCGCTTTTATTTTTCGAATGCTTATTTTGAATCCATGGTTGGTTTTATGAATTTGCCAATGTTTATCGCTTTTGTTTTTCGAATGCTGATTTTGAACCCATGGTTGGCAAGTCGAGTGTTCCATTCTTTAAACATTCGCGTCGCGCTCTGTTCTGGCGTGGCGGTTTGAATGACATCATCGGCGTGCATTAGTTTTAAAATATCGGTGCGTATCGTTTTCCTGATTCCTTCCATCAATGTAATACATATCAGGGGCTACGTTTCTAGCCTTGGGGAGGTTATGTATGTATATATGTATATTTTTCATATACTATTATACATAGGTGTGTACATGTGTATAGATTTAATATTTATTGGTTATGATTAATTATTATTATCTCTGAAAGTACTACTCAGCAAAAACACGGCGTCTTTAAATAAGCGTGAATCAGCGCATCATAAACATTACGATTGATAAGACATATCAATTAGTGAGGATTTTTTGCATTTGAATCTGGTCGCCGCAGTGCATTAATGGACGCTTTTAACCATTGCGCCATGTCACCGTTCATTTACTTTTCTTCACCTCCACAATTCAAGAACCTGAGCCAAAGTCCTATTAGGAAATGAAAAACGACTCCATACCCAAAGACTTTAGTTTTTGCAGTAAGCTTTGTATGGTAATAGTTTGGGTCTCGTAGATCTGCTGCACGTGAGATACCATTCCTGCTATTGCTACCGGACATGTTCGGTTATCTTCGACTTGTTTTCCCGATACTTTTTTTAGAACGGTTATTCGTTTTTACAAATTTCCATTTATCCATTTATTTTTCTCCAATTGTTTGCCTGACAGGATCAGGGTAGTTATTTGCCTTTATAAATTTCTGAAAGTTTTGAATTAAACGTCATTCAATGTTAATTATTTATACAGTATTGTGTTATATAATCAAAAAAAGTAGTTAGCTGTTATATTTAACTACTTTGTTAAAAAATAGTTAATAACTATTTTTATTTGCGGCAGTTATTAACTACTTTTTTAACTGTTGCTTTTTAGTTAACTACTAAATAACTACTTTTAAACATTTTCATTCACCAGATTAGTTTGCAAAATGTTTTTTCAAGTAAATAAACAGTTGTTTACAGTTTATTCCTGAAGTAAAATATTCTAAAATCTGTTATGTGCTTTTGTCTTTCTCTTAAAAATTTCTTTTTATCAATATGGTTATCAGATATCCTGCAGTGTTTATCAGTTAGAACTTGTCCTGCCACACTGATGAGACGCTCAATTGCTGCTGGGCTAGGCAATGTTGCGTTTAGTTTTATGAATGCTGCACACACGGCTGGATACAAAAACAAACTTTCAATATTCCTGGACGGATTAGTCAAGTAATTATTGAGTTGATGCTACAACAATTTCTGTCACTTCTTTTGGGATTTTTTTGTGAAATAGATTTGGATGCAAATAATGACTGATTTATATCAATTTGTTTCAATAATTTTGTTGGAGCAGTCTCTACTATCTTTTTTGCTGAATTCTGTGCTTTTACATATAAGTTTTGTAAACTGGTGGATGCTGTTCTTATAAATAAGAGTTAAATTTTGGGTTTTTTCTTCAACATTTTTATTCAGTATATGTGTGTGTACAAGTACATAAATGTATTTAGACTGTTACAACAGCTACTGTAAGGTTTATTTTCTACAATTTTAAATTCACTTGAAGAAATTCGCTGCACTGCACAGCACATTATAACCTCTACACACAGTAACATGCAATCTGCACAAATTAATTTCAAGACATGTGATTGTAAAACTGTACTGCCAACGAAAATAAAAGTAGTCTACAATTATTTAAATAATTAATATTTACTTTTTTTACATTTTTTAATAAGTTGAAAGAGTTGGAGATATTTTTTTACAATTTTTTATTGTATATGGAGTTTCTATCGTTGTCTTTGTTTGAAACCATGTCCGCAAAACACAATTTAATTATTTGACTATTCATATTAGAATTTTAAATTTTGTTTGAAACCACTCCAAAAACCAGAATCGAAAAGGAAACAGAAGTGAAAAAATTTAAAACGAATACAAGTATTTAAAAAAAATAAATTTATTCTGTAAAATAATGCTCAGGTAAAAAAAAGTAGTTAATTATAATTGTATTGTCAGTAACTACTTTAAAAATAAGTAACCAGTAGTCATAAAAAAGTAGTTACACAACTAAAACTTAAACTTCGCTTCTTCCAAAATAAAATCAAACCTCCAGGATAGATGAGATAGTTGTTAAAAAAATTAAATACCTTGATGAATTTAGCATTGAAAAAGTGACAGAAATTTTGAATGAGACATATATACCCTCGGCGAAATTCCTGAAGATCTATCCAAGTCAATATTTATTGCATTGCCTAAAAAAACCTAATGCAACAGAATGTAAACTACATCGAACAATCAGCTTGACGAGTCATCTTGCAAAACATTTTTTGAGAATTATGATGATGAGAACACGAAGCAAAATCAGATCTGAAATTTTAAATGTCTAATTTGGTTTTGTCGAGAATTGTGGCACAAAAAACGCTATCTTTGTGCTACGAATGATCAGTGAACGAGCGATTGAAATGAAAAAAGACTTGTTTATATGTTTTGTTGATTACTCAAAGCTTTTGATAGCGTGAAACACGTGGAGTTTATGGAAATATAAAAAGTTTGGACATTGATGGAAATGACCCGAGAGTTATCAAAAACCTCGATTGGGACCAAAGAGCAGCAATAAAAGTTGGTAACAAGATGACTAGTTTTGTCGAAATTAAGAGAGGTGTTACGCAAGGCTGTGTATTCTCTCCAGACCTGTACAAACTCCTTAGTGAGATCATCATGAGAAAGATAGAAGATCTACCTGGAATATCCATTGGAGGCATGAACATAAACAATGTAAGATATGCTGATGATACAGCTCTTATAGCAGATTCAATGAAAAACTGCAAACAATTGTTTCTAAACTGGTTTTTGAAAGTAAAAGAAAAGGCTTGTAAATTAACTTTAACAAAACAGAAGGCATGGTTATCAGTAAAAGCAAAATCGTTTCGATCTGATCCATTATCATTAATTGCAAACAAGTGAAACAAGTTCAGATTATCTCGGAAGTCTGCTACCTCAGGTTGTAAATATGATGTGAATATTAAACGAAGATAAGTCAGGTGAAAGATGCATATTCTAAAATGAAAACTTCTTCACCAACAGTAAAATCAAAATATTAACAAAATTAAACTTTAGAGTGTTACATTTTCCTGTACTCACTTAGGGCTCTGAGTCCTGAACGATTTCTAAAGAAATGGAAAAAAGGATTGATCCTGCTGAGATGTGGTTTTTGAGAAGAACTATGAAAATTAATTGGACCTCTCATATTTCTCACGTATTAAAACAGTTCAGTTATAAAAAGCGGAAATTACTATCAATAAAAATAATCCGACGAGGCAGTTGAAGTTTTTCGGTCACATCATGCAGAAGGAAGAAATAGAAAATTTAAAAATTACTGGAAAGATTGCAGGGAGAAGAGATTGCGGTCAACAACGAATTATATTCGTGAAATCCTTGTGTCACTTGTTGAATATCACCACTTTTCACTTGGTAAAAAGTGTTAAAGATCGGGTTTTGTCGATGGTAGCCAATGCCTTGAAAGGATATGGCACGACAAGGAAGAACTACTTATCTCTGTATCTATGTGTGTTTTATATTCAAACTTGTGTGCTAGATGAGATTGAAAACGTAACTCATTTCCTGTTTTTTTTATAATGAAAGGTGATTATGATACCATTTTAAAATGGCCTTTCAGACAACAAATTAAAATTATGTTAGATGGTATTAATAGAAAAGATGTAAAATCGGAGTCGTTTTTGTCTGATCCTCAAAATTATCTTGCCGTACTTTCTTACATCGTAAGACTTTTTTTCTTCAGTAGGATTTGATTGTAAAGATTTTGGGTCACGTAGATCAGCAGTACGTGATATTTACGCAACGGCTGCTTAACAAGTTCGGTCCTTCGATTTCTTGTCGCTTCTCTCTTGGTTTTTTAGAGCGTTAATTTTTACAAATCACCATTTCATCCATGCTTGTTTAGTTATTTTTTTCCTAATAAAAGGAACGGGTTAGTTGTTTGCTTTTATAAATTTCTCAAAGTTTTGAATTAAATGCCATTTAATGTTGATTATTTAAATTTGCAGATGTGCGCTAGAATATATTTAAATGGTGATGGGATTGGAAATGGGACTCATATTTCCATGTTTTTTGTTATAATGAAAGGTGATTATGATACTATTTTGGAATGGCCATTCAGACACAAGGTTACGCTGATGATATTGGATCGAAGTGGAAACGAATGTCATATTTCGGACTCGTTTTTGCCAGATCCCCGTAGCTCTAGTTATCAAAAACCAACTTCAGCTTGCAACGTCGCGTCGGGATGCCCCATGTTTGCAACTCAATCAGATATTGAAGAAAATAGAAATTTTTTAAATGATGATTGTCTCTTTATTAAAATAATTGTGAAAAATATTTGACTGCAGTCTTCTTTTTTTTAAGAAATTGAAGAAAATAAAAATTTAGACGACGAGTTTACTTTATTAAATTAATTGTAAAAGTTGTTTGAATACGCACTATAAATTTTCTAAAATTTATTACTTTTTTATTTTATTGTGATAAAGTTACTTGAAAAAGTTGTTGAACAGCAACGCATTTCTGAACTCAAACTCTACTTCCCTCTACTCAATCTGGTTTTAGGCTTTCTCATATTACTAAAACTATTGAAAATTTATATTGATAAGAACTAGCGGTAACAGAAATCATTCTCTTCTCGCTCTTTACTATTCCCTGCCTTTGATACTGTCGATCATGGTTGCTTTACTAAACTTTTTTCAACACCCTTTCAACATCACTGACTTGTCTTTCTTGGTTCTTGTCTTATCTTCATAATCTTTACTCTCATGTTGTCATAAAAAGAGAAGAGAGAAATTGTCCTGCAATGAAGGCGTACCAATGGTGGCAGGCACCGGGATGTAGGTGACTCCAAAGTGGGTATGGGAATACTGCTTAAACTTGAAAAATTCATTGCTACTTTATTTTAAAATAATTTTATTTTAATGAATTCGGCCATTTGGAAACCTTCCTAGAAACATTCCAACAATTTTAAAAGTCAGTCAAATATAAAATCTGTATAGAGCGCACATAAACAACGACCAATGAGATTGTGAGCACAATGTCGAAACATAATGTAAGAAATTTAAAAAAATACGGAACTGTCAAATTTTATTATTTTAAATTATTTATATTAAAATAATAAAATGAAATAAATAATTTTTATTAATATAATAAAAATGGAGAGAAAAAATCTTATTGGTCATTTATATCATCAAATAATTAAAAATTGAAATGAAATGGAATAATGAAAATACCAAATAATTAACAAATAAAATTTTGGCAAAATCCTAGGGCAATGCTGATTTGTTATTAGTACATTTTTTTCATTAATCTAGTAAAAATGCCGCAGAAACAATTTTTATAATTTTGAAGTGGTTATGATTTACGCGTGCCATAGCTGTTCGAATATGCCCAAAATGAAACATGTCGTAGTTCCTTTTTTGAAAAAGACGATTTATTGTAAAATGAATCAGGCAATAATATTAAATCGTTTAAATTTTAACAAGCTATATCTTCTTACTAGAAATCGTAGAATAACTAGGCAGTGGTTAAGGTTTAATGGACGGTTGCGTCGGGAAATGTTTTGCGAAAACTGCAGGGAAGAAATGTACGAGGTTATTCATTTAGTTAATAAAGTTGACCAAGTCATTTGGCGATGTCCAAAAAAAATTGTCAAATGACGACAAGTATTCGAAAGGATTCATTTTTTAAAAATAGTAAATTAGAGATGTCAAAAACGATACAAATTCTTTATTGTTGGGCATGGAAAATGCCTGTATATTTGACAACAAGGGAGGTTGGCGTAAATAAAAATACTGTCGTGGACTGGTACAATTTTTGCCGAGACGTTTGTATAGACCGTTGTATTGATAATTTTGTACAGATTGGGGGTCCCGGAACAATTGTAGAAATAGATGAAACTAAAATTCTGAAGGCAAAATATTATAGGGGAAGAAACAACAGATATAAAGATGGATGGGTGTTTGGAGGAATACAGCGAGGGACAAGAATATGTTTTGCAGAAGAGGTACAGGCACGAGACTCACAAACTCTAATCCCTCTCATTCAAAAATGGATTGCTCCTGGAACAACAATAGTCTCTGACGAGTGGCGTGCGTACAGTCAGTTGAACGACTTGGGTTATACTCACATCACAGTGAACCCCAGTGTAAATTTTGTTGATCCAGTCACGAGTGCACACACACAAAATATCGAATCGATGTGGGCCAGATTGAAGCGTACATTTAAATATATGTATGGGACATCCGAAGACTTGAAGGCTACATATTTAGCTGAATTTATGTGGAGAGAAAAATTCGGTAAGTTGCCCTTTGGAAATATCATTGTACATGTGAGACAGAAATGCAACTATGATACCTTAATTTTTTTTTCTTAATTTCAATTTTTTATAATTATTTTTACATTTGTTTGATATTATTTAATGTAAAAAAATACAAATTTTGAGATGGTAAAAGAGAATAAAATGTATACAATCTTTTTGTCCAAAAATGTAATTTACATAAATACTAATTTATATTGCCGCCTGCAATCGATTAATTGATATTTTATAATCGTGACATTAACACTTCGATAGCTCCGTATTTTCGTTCATTCATTAAGTTACAGTTGTGTTGCGTTCCCTTTTCTAGTTATCTCATTGGTCGTTGTTTATGTGCACTCTTTTTCATACATATCTCCCGCATTTATAATGTGTTTTCAATTACATTGTAGGCACTGTCCTAGGATTTTGCCAAAACCAGCTAAATTTGCGCCATTTAACTCCTCCTCCTTTTTAATATTTATGTTATTTATGTTTATTAGATTGTTAGACGAGAACAAGAAAAGATATTTTTTCAATCATTTTCATTTATTATTAATTTTTAAATAATTTTCAATAATAGATATTTCAAAAATTTTAATTTGTTTTTCATTTCAAAATAATTGTCAATAATAAATATTTTAAAAACAGCTTGTGTTAATTATTTTAAAAAGAAAACGCTGATTTATTTCATTAATAAAATAAATTATGATCAATCAATCAAATTAATTTTTATAGCGCCCTTTCCGTAATGCATAATGTTTCACTTTTAAATAACAACGCGTATGTTTCTACCATTTTTTCGTCTGCCTTCTTCCGTTAGCCAATTTCTCGGTCTGACATTTTGAATTCATCTTTAGCCATGAACTTTCCTGCCGTTAATAGTCTGTCATCAATGGAATTGACAAACGACATAAATTCGAAACAAAAAGCGGTGGACTGGGTGATGCAACACGGATTGCTGTCGTCTGGAATGACATGCATTTGTGGAAAATTTATGCGTTTGTATAATTCCAAAAAATCAGCAGACGAACAGATATGGCGTTGTACAAACCATACGGCCTGCAGCAGAACAAAATCCATTAGAAATGGTAGTTTTTATAAAAAAATGTAAGCTGCCAATGAGCACATGTACATGGTTAGTATTTTTTATTTGTAATTTAAATTATATTTTATAAATATTAAATTTTAGAATGAAAAACAATGATAATTTTGTATATTCAGTTGACATATTATTGGAGCATGGGGGACATCAGTCAGGCAGCGACAGCTTCGTTGCTACAAATAGATAAGAATAACACGTTGCCTGACTGGTTCAACCTCCATCGCCAACTCTGTACAGATTAGGTACGAGACAACCCAAAAATAATTGGTGGACCCGGTCGAATTGTTCAGATTGACGAGAGTCTGGTGTCTAGTAACAAAAGGACAAGGAATGAAAGGGCCAAGCCATTTCGGCAGCGTTGGGTTTTTGACGGCATAGATAACGTTTCCAAGGAAACCTTCAACGTGATGCGGCCACTTTGCTGCCCATAATACAACAGCATGTTTTGCCTGGTAATGATTTTAACATTTTCTATTAATTTTTCCTATATTAACATTTTATTTAATTCTCATTCAGGCACAACAATATGGTCTGACAAGTGGGCCGCTTATGCGAACATTCCCAGAGTTACGGGACTGGCACAAGACACTGTCAATCATCGATATGGCTTTGTCGCTCCAAATGGAGTGCATACTAATGCCATTGAGAATCTTTGGAAGTGTGCCAAAGATAAATTTAAACGGATGCATGGTACCTGCGATGATCACCTCTCTTCCTATCTCGATGAGTTTATGTGGCAGCGCGGTATCAGGGACTGTGATGAGCAGTTTCAAAAAGCTCTTGAGCTCATCCGTACATATTCAATCAATCAATCTTCGTTTTGCGTCCAGAGACCCGGTTTCCCGAGGTAGGACGTTGTTTTCTTTGCCATCAACTTTTTGCGCCAAATTAGACGATCAGTTGTATCCATTTCATTTAAATTTAGAGCTTTCATGTCTTGCTCGTTTGTTTTCGACCAGGACTTCTTTGGACGGCCTTTGGGACGTGTGCCAGGTACTTCAACATCTGCAAGAGAAGTTATGGCACTGTTTCCACTTCGTTTGACATGACCAAACCACCTCAGACGGTGTTGCCGGCATTCGTCCTTTATATCATCTAAACCAGCACGACGCAGGATTTCGGTAGATTTGATGTGGTCCTTCAGACTAATTCGTTGCATCCATCGGAGCATTTTCATGTCGGTTCGTTGAAGTTGTTGTTCCAGTTTGGTTGTCATTGGCCATGTTTCTGCACCATATAACAACACCGGACGTATCACAGATTTATAAAGTCTTGATCGTAGTGGGATGTCACGCCGCATCAATATAGAGGCAAGGAGATGCCATTTATTCCAGGCTGCACGTATGCGTGCTCGAATGGCAGCTTCAGCTGTTCCAGTACAATCCAGAACATCCCATAGATATTGAAACGATGTGACTTTCTCTATTTTAATGGCTTCAAAAACAGTGCTATTTTGAAGCAGCCAAATGATCATTCAAAATAAAATATCGATTATACAACACTCATTACAAATTTCGACATGATTTATATGATATGCATGTAGTAACGTTATTGCATACTAGTGTAATCAACGGCAATTATATTTTCTCTATAATTCCATCAAATTAAGCACTATTTATTTTATTCAATCTAATGTACTACATATCTACTCAAGCAAGTTCATCCGGTGTTACTATCAACTACTCTTATTTTATTTTTTATTTGTTTATGATCATTTAGCCGCTTTCAAGTTGACAATTACAAAATAATGCAAGCATTTTAATTAGCTATTTAAATATAAATTGAAAGTTTGTTTAAATATTTAATTATGTTTTGCTATATGCATAAGCTTAAATAAAATTACATTAAAAACAATGGACCTTGATATCAAAATTCATTTTCAAATAAAACACTTTGAAAGCATTTTTGCGTTCTTTTATTGTTATAAAATGTCGCAAGTGAACATTTGTTAGTTCAGATGAGTTTAATTGTTTCCTGTTGTCGTTTTCATCATTACATCATTTATGTGGTCTTCACCAATATTGTCCTCATCCTCATTTTGTTTGCATCGTGATCAAGAGAACGAAGAAGTGAGCGGGCGTCGTCAATGCACGCTACTATTGTTTTTATACATGATCCTACATCTTATGTTATATGTGAACAAAGATATTTGTGTAACAAATGGAAAATGAATAAAATTATTCTTTCTCGTGCTTTATCCTTTCAGGACATTGGCGACCATCGACCTTCACAAGACACTATACTCAACACTTTGTAACAGTTGAAATGTGGTTATATTAAACAAGTGACACAAGGAATCCACGAATGTAGACCGCGATCTTTTCTTCCTGCAATCTTTATAAATAAAATACATTAGCTTTAAAATTATTTTAAATTGATTGATTAATTGATTGATTGATTCATTCACTCATTGAACGTTTAACGGCGGTTTAGCACGGCTATCGGCTATCTTCTCTCCATTGCAGTGGCGTCACTAGGGTTGGTGTCACCCGGTGCGGTAACTCATGGTGTCACCCCTCTCATGACACCCCATAGACATACATCATTCTTAGCAAAATTTATAAATAAATTTACAACGAAAATAGAAGAAAAAATAGTTCAAGGTCGATTTTTTATTCTTTAAAAAAAATTGTGATCTATCAAAGATTTTAAAAAATAAAACTTTTTTAATTGTTATTTTTACATTAAATTTTATGTCACTTTAAATCTCAATTAAATCAGAACTTCCCTTTCCTCGCCTTTAGAGATGCAAACTTGTCAATTACTTCATCAAAATCAACTTCTTTTGCCAAATCTCTTTCAATTGATAATATTGCAAGATCAGAAAGCCTAGACTGTCCCATAGTAGACCGCAAATAGTTCTTTATAATCTTTAGCTTTGAAAAACTCCTCTCACATGAAGCCACAGACACACAGATTGTAAGAAATAATTGTAGGCTCACTGAGAGATATGGGAGAGATTTTAGGAAGTCTCATTCAACTATGTATTTCAAAATGTCAAGTACTGACCAGTCTTTGGCTTCTTCAAGATCAATCTCTGCTGCCTTCAGATGTCTTCTCAGTCTTGTTATTTCTAATAAAAGCTCTATCTCTGATAACTCATCATAGAATGTGGTCAATTTTGGAATGCTTACCAATAACTCTTCTTCAGTAGCAGATATCAAACTCTTGGCTTGAACAACCTCAAACATAGCTGCTACTTGCTTGATGGCTCTTGATCTAATCTGGAGTTCAGAATGGAAACGATCAATACACTCATACATCGCTCTCGTATTTTCTTCCTGCAGAGTAAGTCCAGCATCTCTCTCGCGCTCGCCTGCCATCCTCTTCTTGAACCTGGGTCTGCTCTCTACTGAAATTCCATATTGGTCTGATTTTATAAGTGCCTGTTCAACTGCCTGCTCCACAAGATGATTGCGCTTCTCATACATAAAAAGTCTTAG